GTGAAATGTCTTTGTATTAAAAAAATTAACAAGTGTGATGTATAACGTGAAGTTTAAACCTCTGGCCCTGATTTGAGATGCGGATCCTGTGTGAGTTATTGCAATGTCCCGTCTGCTTTCAGAGAGGGGTGAAAAGCATGTTTTGTTTTTTTTCTCTGGGAGCCAGTTATGTTCAGAGTAGAATGGTGTTAAAGGTTTCTTCATCTGGTAAAGTTATTACATTATTAAGCAAATGCAAATTCTTGTCTAAGAATCACAGTCATGTGTGATGCTGCATTTCAAATTGAATAATTAACGTTAATCCTATAAGAGTTTTTACTGTGTGTCCTTTAGAAGAAAAACATGAATTTAGCTGATACATGGTCAGGGTGTCTGTTATTCCTTGAATACTTTTGAGGAGGGGTATAACTTGGGTTTTTTTGCCAGGAAGCATCAATAGAATTTTTTTTGATTCTGTAGAATTCATTTTGAATTTATTTAACTGTTTTGTACAGTGAAGATAAAAGAAAATTCTGGCTAATCTTTCTGTTTTGTGATTAAAACAAAACTGGAAGATAGATTATAAATGCAAATTAATATTTATTCTAAATCAAGAATGTAATTTTAAGAAATAATGCTTTTAAAGAAGTCAGCAATTATTTATGCATCCTAGATAGCTTTTTAAAATCCCTCTGGTATGGGAACAATATACCAATCAGTGATTTTTATTCTTTAATCATAATTTTATAGGTAGGATTTAAAGAACTTTTTTTTTTTTTCCCTTTGGTGAGGAAGATCAGCCCTGAGCTAATATCTGCTAATCTTCCTCTTTTTGCTGAGGAAGACTGGCCGTGGGCTAACATCCATGCCCATCTTCCTCCACTTTATATGGGGCACTGCCACAGCATGGCTTGCCAAGCAGTGCGTCGGTGCGCGCCCGGGATCCGAACCAGCGAACCCCGGGCCACCGCAGCGGAGCATGTGCACCCAACCCTTGCACCACCGGGCCTGTCCCTAAAGAACTTTTTTTTTTTTTAAATTGAGTTACATGAAATTTCTGTTTGCATTTTAGGAAGCAGTTTCTTGATCTGAATGCTTCAAATGACAGAATTCTCACCAAAGGCAGAACTATGATTTATTTAGACTTTATGTCCTTTTTACTTTAAAAAAAGATTTGTGATAAAACTGTTAATGAAACAGTTGTGTGTGTCTAGTTCAAAAAGGTTAATTATTACACTCTGAAAATTTCATTTCAGCAAAATTAATAATAGTGCAGTTTCTGGGGACGCATTCTCCTCTAGCCTTTGACATGCCCCAATCTTAACAGTGAAGACTCAGGCCTTCTGCGATCTTGCCCAGCCTACCTTATCAAATTCATCAGAGGCCTGTCACATGCCTTAAGTTGCACCCAAACTCTTAGTAAAAAGGAAGAAGCTTCAAAGAGAAATCATTGAGCATTTTAAGCAGAAGCCAAAACACAGTCCATAATCTAATGTGTTCCCCGTATTTGCCATTTCCTACCTTGTTTTCTGTTATTTCTTTTGTTTAGAATGTCCTTGAATTTGTAGGGAAGGAAAAGTATCTCTTTCCTTTAGTCTTCTAAGTTCTCAACTGGGAGCCCTTTGACAAAAGACAGATTAACAAGAGAAAAGCATACAGATTTATTTAATATAAGTTTTATGTGGCATGGGAGCCTTCATAAGGGAATGAAGACCTGAAGAATCGGTTACCCCTGCGTTTTTATACTGGGTTTAATGAGAGTGGAGAGTCGTGGAAAATGTGCCAGGATGAAAAAGGGTCTGAGCCAACTGTAGTGAACTGGGGGAGCAGCAAGGCCTGTTCGTCCACATTCCTCTGTGCCCTTTCCTCTTGGAGATAAGGAGTTCCTTTCCTCAGGGTGTGGGGAGGGCACCTCTCACGTGAGGGTTTCATGACCTGCTTTAGGGGAAGGTCAGCAAGTCCTTCACGTGCATGCTTTCTCACCTGCCTTCAGCTTAAGATATTCATTATGCCAAGGTGCTAGATTTTGGGGTAGCATGTTCTGAACCCTGTCACATTGTTCCATTATCTATCAGTTAGCTATTGCCACAATAATGCTGTATCACATATCACCTCAACATTCACACATATGGGCTTGAGGGTTTCCTGGGAGTTGGCTGACCTGGGCTGGGCTCGGCTGGGTAGTTCTGCTTAACGCTCCCGGTCTCTCTGGGCGTGGCTTCTCACTGTGAGCTTTGGGCTTAGTCTGCTCCACGTGTGTTCATTCTGAGCCCAAGGTTAGAGGGGAAGCAGCTACCCTGTGGCGAGGGTCAGGGGGCAAAAGGACGAGCCCAGCCAAGCTGGGCTTTGCTTGCGTCAGATCTGCTAACACTCCCTTTGGCCAAAGCAGGTCACAGGGCCCAGTCCATCAAGTCCCACCGTTTTCCCAGGGTGGGAAAGTACACGCCTCCTCTCGTGACTGGAGTCACATGGCAAAGGGTGGGGAATCAGGGTGGTTAGGATTGGCCCAGAAATTTAAGTCTCGTCTTCACATGGCTAAATCCTGCCTGCTCTTTAATCTTTATGGCTCAGTTCAAACCCTCTCTCATCTGTGGCCTCCACAATCTCAACCAAAGGGATTGCTCCTTCTTCTAAACTTATTTTGTTTGTACTCCTCATAAGAGATGTATAGCTTTCCACTTGTATCCATCATAAATACCTCCTTCTTCCGTGGGAGGTCCTGTAGGGCAATGAGTCCTCTGGCTCATTCATCTTTATATCTTCAGTGTATTTGTATCTAAAAACTAGTAAACTGTTTTAAATCAGAAGAGACTGCAGATTTTTGTTGTGGTAAAATATACATAAAATGTACCATTTTAAGTGTACAGTTCTGTGGCATTTGGTACATTCACATTGTGCTACAGATTTATTTTTAATTGGGCTTCTGACTGCTCACGTGTGAGACCTGCACCCTTCCTTTGGAGGGAACTCCGAGATGTGGATTTGTGAAGGAGGGTGTATTCTCTCGCTCTCCCTCTCTTTTTCTGTCTTTCTTTTTTGGCTTTTTTTTGAGCAGATGTCCTCTGCAAATAGTGTCAATTTATTCTGTATTCAGACTCTTTGAAGCTTGCAGCCGTAGCCTAGGTGTGTATTTTTGGATTACCACAATTTAACAGATCCCCCTGTAGTGTGTGTTGTGATAGGTATGGGGCACAGAGCACAGTGGAAATGGAGAAATGATACATCATAATGCTGATCTCAGAGTCTTGGCAGAATAACATCAGCATGAATTTTTAGCTCTTCTTAAGGATGAAAAATAACTTCAACATTCACATTCATCCTAATAATTGTTGAGCATTTAAACACTTGTAGTATACATTTATGGGAGAGCTTGTTCAGAATTCTTTCTGAAGGTTTGTACAGAGAATTCATGTTCTTTCAAGGAGAACGTTGAATATAAATGATGATTTCCAGCTGGAAGCAGAAAAATAACTTAGCCTGTTGTTATTTGTGGTAGAATTTTATCCAAACTCATGCTGTTTTCCTGTTATTAACAGTCTTACTGTGTTTATAGTTCCTTGGCAAGTTTTCTTGATACCCATGATTATAGAATCTTGTGATACTTAATAAAGCTAAGGTGGTAGAAGAAGGTGGTCAAAGCAAAGGTGACCATATGTCCCCATTTGTCTGATAAATTACTATATGATTAAGCTGCTAAAAGGGCAGACAGGTATTAAGAAATTAGAGGTTATAATTGGGGGACCTGACCTAGTCTGGGGGTGGGCAGAGAAGACATTTCTAAGGAACTGACTCTGAAGAGGGACCTGAAGCATCAGAAAGAAGTATTGATGAAAGAGGGTCTGGCTCTCACTTGCCTCAGGGCCTTTGCACTTGCCCCTCTTCCTTCTACCTGGAAGGGAGGATACTCCCACATCCCATCTCCTTCCTCCTCAGTATTACTGTTACTACTAAAGTAGAAAATGTTTTACAAACAGCAGGTAGCAGTCCATGAGTCATAAAATTAATTTAGTGAGTACTAATCTGATTAAAATATATATATTATTAAAATCAAGAGTACATTGTGCATAAGTAAATGTAAATAAGACATTTTAAAAACCTTTATTTATATATGTGTGTGTTCTTAATCACAGTATAAAATGTATTTCTTATTGTAGATAATGGTCAAAAAATTTTTTAAACATTTTGTCTAGAACAAGTAGAAATGAAATCATATTACTCCCTTAACTTTTTTTGTGATATCATTGCATTTCTAATTATTTATTTAATATCTGGAGAAAGTGAGAAGGATGAGAATGTGGCCTTGTGAGCCTTTTTAAGGGTTTTGAGTTTTATCTTAAGATAAATGGAAAGTGACTAAAGTGTTAGGTATTTTTTATTTAATTACCATTTTGTTTTTAACCCTGATTAAATGTGAAGGGAATTTGGGAAGTAGGATTGAATAAGGGCTTTCTGGTAAATGTTCTATTTCTTTAATAAACATTTATTGATTATATACTATGTTTCAAATATAGATTTGTAGTCTATCCTGTCATCTGAAAAATCAGTTTAATAATACCTTATGAAGTTACTGTGAAATTAAATAAGTTAAATAGTGTGTTATGTACACACTCAAGAGGTGTTTTAGTGACCTTTTCTTTACCTCGGCCTCTTTAGGACCACACCCTAAAAGAGGATGCCTTGTTTTGATGATAATGTTAGTCATACAATTCCCAGAATAAATAAAGTTAAGAAAGAATTATAGCTAATTTAATTCCTCTGTATTTGAAAAGAAGGTAGCCACCGCTCTCATTTTGTTTCAGATGTCGGGCTGTTTCCTCAGGAGAATATGATGTTGACATAATTCTGAAATGGTGAAGTTATGTCAGAATGACTTTGAAATCAACATGGAATCCTTCCATTTTTCCTTCCCCTGACCCCAAACGTAATATTTTTTGTCTGACCACATTGTTTTTCTGAGGGTAGAAAATGTCAACGTGGAGTAACATTTCCACTTCATTCTATTAATTTCCCTTCCCCTTTAGATTTCACCACCCCATCCTCAGTCCTCTGGAAAGCAGTTTCCAGCTGGAAGTTGATGTCCTGAGTCATCTCCTGAAGGCCCAGGCTCAGGTCTCGGAGTGGAAGTTCCTCCCGTCTCTGGTTAACTTGCACAGTGCTCACACCAAGCTGCAGACCTGGGGCCAGATCTTTGAAAAGCAGCGTGAGACCAAGAAACATCTGTTTGGAGGGCAATCCCAGAAGGCCGTGCAGCCCCCACACCTTTTCCTTTGGCTGATGAAACTCAAAAACATGCTGCTTGCCAAGTTTAGCTTTTACTTTCACGAGGCCCTGAGCCGACAGACAACTGCTTCAGAAATGAAAACGTTGACTGCAAAAGCCAACCCAGACCTTTTTGGAAAGATTTCCAGCTTCATCAGGAAATACGATGCTGCCAATGTGTCCTTAATCTTTGACAACCGGGGTTCTGAGAGCTTTCAGGGTCATGGCTATCACCACCCCCACTCCTACAGAGAGGCCCCGAAGGGCGTGGACCAGTACCCAGCCGTGGTGTCTCTGCCCAGCGACAGGCCTGTCATGCACTGGCCCAACGTCATCATGATCATGACGGACCGCACGTCCGACCTCAACAGCTTGGAGAAGGTGGTCCACTTCTACGACGACAAAGTCCAGAGTACCTACTTCCTAACCCGCCCAGAACCTCACTTTACCATTGTCGTCATCTTTGAGTCAAAGAAATCCGAGAGAGACTCCCATTTTGTTTCCTTCCTCAATGAGCTCTCCCTTGCCCTTAAGAACCCCAAGGTTTTTGCCAGTCTGAAACCTGGATCCAAAGGTTAGCAGGTGATTTGCACGAAAGGTTTGAAGACTGGAAGTTGTGTTCCTGATTGCTCTGATGAGCTACAGTGCGCTGTGATTAGAGTTTCCAGCCATTCCTGCCTCGTTCAGAGCTAAATAAAGACAAATCCTCCCTAATTGTGTCACACACTTTATAAGCAATTAAGGCCGATTGAGTTAAGTATCCAAAGAGTAACCTAGGAAGTGATCGTGGCTACCGTGTGTCTCCGCGGTTCAGCAAAGTCTTTTGGTGTTTTCTCCTATTGTCCTGCATTTGATGTAGACCGAATATTTATTGGCCTCTGATTTTTCTTTCCAGATGTTTTATATTGTCCTAAACATTGTGTTCTAATGCAGTTCCACATGCCCTCTCCCTTCCCCTCCCTCCTGGATGAGTAATTGGGATAAGATATTAAATGGCCTTTTTAGAATTAAAGGACTGTATGTTTTCTATTTCATAAATTGGCAAATTAACATGAAATTATTAGTTTTATGATTCTGACCTACAAATTAATATTTTTGATGCCCAAATTAGGGTCTTGGTGAGGAATTTCTCTCAGTTATTGATGTTGAAGGTGAGCAGAGTGTCACCATGGCGTCAGGTTCAGCGCACCCTCACGCGGCTTCAGTAGCCGTGGGCTCTTGTGCGGTGATCTGCACACCTGACTGCATTTGTGTTTATCCTTATAATGTTTGAGTTTTTCACTCTGGTTTAAAGGCAGCATCAGCCATTCTTTGGGGTTTCCTCCTGCTTCAGCGTGTTATCTGCTCTGCTTTCTGTTGATCACCTTTCTGCTGCGATGTATGTTCACGTTTGACTCTGCTCCCTGGTTATTTTTAGGCTGAAAAAGCATGCAGTCTTGGCTTTTCAGCCACTTAGACATTCATGCGACTTAACCTACTTTTATAAAATCAAAATGGAATTGCTGTACTTGCTAAAGATCAATTGTGCATTCCAAAGACCTCTTCATAGTTGAGTAACCAACTCAGTACTTAAGCACATCTGAGCTTGGGTTTCCTGCCCGTCTCCTGCATATTATTCTTGGAAGCAGTGATACATCTTAGCACGGCCGCTTGAACACTTCCCTTAGCAGGTGTTGGAGGAGCAGTAGATGGATCAGCAAGGGCATAATAGGCTGTGGAGACCTTCACTCACTTCTAGTATTGATTCAGAATAAAGATCAGCCACAAAGAGTAATTGAATTGTTACTTTCTGATAGTTCCTTCAAAGCTTGTGTGCAATGTCGTGGTCAGATGGGTCAGAGTGGTCACGGAGCCACTGTCTTACTGGGCAGCCCCAGCAGGCAAGCCAGCTGCATCGGCAGAGACCAGAGAGCCCCTCCAAGTCTGGGTGGGAGGGCTGCCCACCTCAGGCTGGTCTACTTGGTGGAAGAACCCACTGACCTATTTTCTGGGGAGAACATGTGTTTTTCTTTTCTTTGTTTCTCTTTTTTTAAAATAAAAGTCATATGATTTGTAAAAAGCCAGTTTCCTTTAAATAGAAAGTAGTGATTACCTCTGCATTTTATTCGCTCAGGTTCTATAAAAATCTGAACAGATTTTACAACATTGACCTTATATAAAAAATTGAAAACAATTGGAACTAGAAAGTCTTAATTATTTTCCCTCTCTTTTGTGTTTTGCCAGGAAGCTGAAAAAATTCCCTGGTGTGCATGTATTTTTTTTTTTCCTAGATAAAACCACCGTTAGCCTTAATGATTGGTCCCATGTACCTAAAAGAAAATATGCTTTAGTGGAATGTGGAAAAGAGTGTAAATAAAACATATATACAATATTTAAATAATCAGTCCTTACCTAGAACATATTTGAATTGTATATTTATTTTTAAACATATTTTGGTTCAAGCCAAGAAACAAAGTTATTTTACGATGAGATTTAGCCTCTAAAGTCAGTAATGAAATGATCTGGAAAGTCTGTGTGTGTTTTGCTAATTGGAAGCGTAAATCCACGTATTTCCCACAGACTGCTGACGCTGAAGTTTGTTTCTAAACCACGACTTGATCAATTTCTATGGGTAACTGGGAGTGTGGGCCACACTTACTGGGTTTGCCGACGAGTCCATCAAGGAGCATTTCATTTTAGGAAGCTGTTTGGACACAGGCTGAACGTTTACGATTTTGTCCTCTCCTGGGTCCAGCCTGATGTCTGACTGTGTCATTTTAGGAAGTGTGTGAAAATAAAGCCTAATTCTTAACTGAGGAGCCGATACCTTTTGTATAATTGCTTTGTACATTTGGACATATTGGAGAAAATTTACTTTTGAGAAAGAAAATAGTTGTTATTTCACTGCACTCCCAGTAGAGTCACTCAGGTGATCTTTAAAAGATGTCCACTGTCTGATCGAGCACCAAACTTGCGGTTTTGTTTCTTTGGCAAGCCAGCCTCTGAGCTTGGCTTCCTGATCTGTAAAATGGGGACGAGGAGATGTGGGCTGCCTTTTTCAAAGGATATGTAAGAATGGAATGAGATCATGCATGTAAAAAAGGCTTGGAAAACGTCCTTGGGTTTGAAAGCTGTATAAATAAAAGATGGACCACTCTTTCCTTACACTCAACACCTCTCCTGGTCTCGTCTTTCTTTGCAGGTCTGTGGCAACCCTGAGCTTAGTCATGACATTTGAACAGTACTTAAAGAACTCATTTAGAAGAGGAGGTAGATAAATGCCTAACCAACACACTCACTCTTCTTATTTTAGAATCTTTGTGTCTCTTTGTTCCCAAATTTTTTGGTTGATTGATGGCATCGTTTCAGTTCTGTATGCTTACTGATTTTTTTTGTCTGGTTGCTCTATCAGTTAGAGAGAGGTGGTAAAATCTCCGACTGCGTTTGTGGATTTCTTCCTTTATTTCTGTCAGTTTTTGCATTTTGTGTTTTGAAGCCCTTTAATGAGGCCCATATACGTTTATAGTTTTTCTGTCCTTCTCATGATTAACTGTTTTATCATGATGAAGTTTCCTGCTTTATCTCTGTTACTACTCCTTGCTTTGAAGTCTGTTTTGCCTGATATTTTTATGACCATTCCAGCTTGGTTATGATTACTGTTGGCCTGGTATGTCTTTTTCCATCCTCTCAGTTTTCATCTGTGTCTTTATTTTTGAAGTGTCTAGAGTAAGAACTAAAGAGAGAAGACTGATTAGAAAGAGCAGTAACCAACCCTGTGCCCTCCAATCTGAGTCTCTGCCGTTTGATGGGAGTGTTGAGTTCCCTTCTCCTGCAACGTTCTTACAGTCAGCGTTTTGCTGATGGGATCCTCGAGCTGTCATTTAACATGTTTTTCTATCCTCTTTTTTTCCCTTCATATTTGGAGTTAGATCAAGAGGTTTGATCAGATTCAGTGTTTTTTTTTGTTTTGGTAGTAGTGTTGTGTGTTTTATTAGGAGGCAGCTAACATCTGGGGTTGCCTAGATGGGTTATATCACTCGAGGTTATAAAATGGTGATATTCTAATTATGTCATTCCTTCTACAAAGAGAAACTTCACCTCCAACTATGGCTACCTTGAAGAACAGTTCCTATAGGAATGGCTGGATAAATGCTTGATTCTTTTGCCAGTTTTAAAAATAGTGAGTTCCTTAGCATCTTCCAGAGACACTGGAAGTTTTTAAGGAAATGTATATGAATTTTTGAGGATTTCTGCCTTCTGCCTCTTAGGTTCAACTCCAAATTTGCAACGATACATCCATTTCTTCCCCTTACTACAAAGACACTTTTATGAGAAAGGTTATGACCCTCGCTTATTTCTTCCTCATGGTTAATTTTCTCTCTTAATTACTGTTAACTATTTTCCTCCACTTTTTTCCTCCCTCCCTCCCTGTCTTAGTTTCTAATATCTTCCTCAACCGTTCCATTTTAGGCACTTTTTTCCCTGCCTTAGGGAGCCAGGACATACCCCGGTGGTCGCTGACCCAGTTTTGGAAAGCAGCATCTGAAAGGATTCACTTCGGTTGTTTTTACAACCAGTTAGTTTTTTTCAGGCAGTGAAGAAGGAATATAGAGGGGAAAAGTTCAGTATTGACACTAATGGAGTGACTGCAATTAAGCCCAGCCACCGCATGAGCACACAAGACACTTAGCCAACAGCAGCCAAGCAGTGCTGTGTGTATCTTGTAGATTATTTGGCAAGAAAAGCTACACACAACTAAAATCTGGCCAAGTGTATTTTTACTATAATTTTTTATTGTTAAGTAGAAGATCATTCTTAGTCTATTTGCTATAATTAGTCTGTATAAAAACAATGCATTAACTTCTGGTTTTGCTTTTCCTTTAAGTGAAAGTTTAAGAAAATAGATTTTTTTTCCCCATCTAAGTAAGAAAGAAAAAAACATGCCATGTGACTCCCCAGGAAAGCCCTGTAGGTTGAGTTTAGCAACTCCCTCTCTACTTTTTATACCAGGTTCCTGTTACCAATGCAATTATTTCATGGCCTTTTGCCTGAATAATTCTCAGCTGCTTCTCCAGAGGAAATGAGTCAGAAGAAATACACTTGGTGTGCCTTTGGAGACTTCTCTTGAGAGCGTGTAAATCCATAAGGCTTCATTAATGCAGTATTTTGACTTTGCATGTTTTTTCAATATGCTTTTGATAATAAAGTCTGTTTCTGGGATACTTTAAATTTAAAACCATATGATATATGTAAGATATCTATGCTAGAAAGTGGAGAGAAGCAAATGGCTTCCCATTTCTGTAGCCTCCTACCTGATGTCAGAACCTGGGGGTAGGGTTCTGAGGGATGGTTTAACTCAAGGAGGGTCATGAGAGGCCTCTGTGTTGGAGAGCATTTTGAAAGAGGATTGCTAAGACGTGCAGTGACAACAGCAGGAAAATGTAGGATGGCACTTGACCTTGATCTAGGAGAGGAAGATAGTCCTTGGGACTTTGACTAACTTTGTCCCTATGGGGTGAATTCTGCTTTTGCTGGTCTTAAAAACTGTGGAGTAATTCCAGAATCCAGTTCAATTTGAAAATCGATGGTCTCATTTGATCTGAGATTTATAATGACTCAGCTGATCAAACTTCTAGATTAGGTCTAGATTCGTTTCATTTTTGGTCTGACGAGATATGGCAGTGAGGACACCGCTTGACCCCAGGGCCATCCCGGTCTCCGTCCCTCCAGGCTAGCCAGTGTTAGAGAAGTCCCCAAGGCAGAAGCAGATAGATAGAATGTTGTATTCAACATTCATTCACTTAACAACTGTTTTTTTTTTTTAATTTTATGTATTTATTTATTTTTCTCCCCCAAAGCCCCAATAGATAGTTGTATGTCATAGCTGCACATCCTTCTAGTTGCTGTATGTGGGACACGGCCTCAGCATGGCCGGAGAAGCGGTGCGTCAGTGCGCACCGGGGATCCGAACCTGGGCCGCCAGCAGCGGAGCGCGAACACTTAACCGCTAAGCCACGGGCTGGCCCAACAACTGTTAAACATCAACTCTGCTCAGGGTGGTGACACAACAATCAACCAAGACGAAGATGGGGCTGCTTGGTGGGTGCTGCTAGTGAGGTGAGCTGGCTCCAACCACCAGGCAGGCCAGGAGCTGAGCGAGCTGAAGGCAGAAAGGCCATGAATACTCTTCAAACTTGTTTTACTTGCATACCTCCCTACCAATTTTGGAAAAACTGATACCTTGATGGATTTTTAAAAAAACATCTGAAATCCTCATCATTACATTTAAGTGGTTTCAAAAGATACATTTTGTCATGTCTCATAAATATTGACATTTAAAATAAAAATGTTAATTGTTCTTTTAAATGTATCTAGTGAAATCTTGGTACAACAGAGACTGAGAACTACCATTTTCCGTATTTACAAATGTCTTAACAAGCTTTCTAACAGTTGGAAATATTATATTACTTCTTTTGCTCCCTGAACTCCATTCTACTCCCATAGAATTTTATCCTAATATGAAAAATTTTTTAGCTTCAGTCTTATTGATCACCCTAATAAATACTTCTCAGCATTTTATGTATAATATATATTATATTAATACATATGTATATGTTCTTTTTGTTCCATAAGGCTCTAAGAGTTTAATGACCAAATTACACATATATTAGAAATTTTATTTGAACATTTTATTTGAAATACATCTTTCAATGATGAATAGGTACAGTGTTTATGGTGACTTGGTTAAAGAAATTGATAGTCTAAATGTTTCTTTGTTTGGTGGGCAGAGATTTT